GGGGATCCGAAGCCCGAGGACAAGGACAGGGCTCGGGTAAGGCAGAGTCGTTCTTCTCCCATCCCCCCCCCCCCTCCAGCCCGTTGGTCCGGGTGACTCGACGAAAAGAAGGTCACGGTTCTCCGGAAGCACAAGAGACCAACCGATTGGCCAGCCTGCCTGCTCTCGGTGGAGGAGGGAGGCTGATCGATTGGCGCTGTCGACCACTGCCCCGCCCCCGGGACGCCCCTGCCCGAATGTTTTCCGAGTTGCCCATCGTTGTTGGAAGCGCGGGGGGGTGGATAGCTTGGGCCGGTGAAGAGCTGGGCTCACTCCATGTCTCGGCCTGGGGCCTCCGGGGGAATTTCTCCATCACACGCAAGACCCCCCCCCCCCCCCGGCCGGTCGGCACCTGGCGTCTTGCCAACCGCGTTTCCCTGTGACACGAAGAGATCGATCAACCGCCCCCCCGCCGGCCCTCGCGGTCCTGAGCGGCCGGGCAACCATCCCCTTCTCACTTTGTCCTTTTCCCTGTTTTGTTCCCCCTTCCCCCCCCCCCTGCCACACTCCCTCCCTTCTCTCCGCTCCCTTCCTTCTCGCTCCTCGCCGAATTTCGCGCTGGCACACCGCGCGGACGTGCACCATGTCCTCAGCGGCTCCGGTTCTCGACGCCGGATTGCGGTCTCTGCTGGAAAGCGACCTGAATGCCATCGCCTCCGAGGCCCGCAGCCGTAACCCTTCCATTCGCGAGGTACCTGCCTTATGCCCCGGGTCTTTGTCTTCCCGCGCCCTTCCCCGATGCCGACTCGCTGACCACCCCTCCTCCCTCCCGACAGGCGGCGCTCGGCTCGCTGAAATCCCTCAAGGAGGTCGCTTCGACACCGCTTCCCGCCGATGCTCGTACGTGCTCATGTCGGTCCCGTTGCCTCCTCCGCCCTGCTTCCTGACTCATTGCTTTCCTCCCTCCGTCCCTCCCTCCCTCTCTCTCTCTCTCTCTCTCCCCCCGATGTGCCCCCCTCTGTCTGGCGCGTAGTTTCAGGCTCGCTTCTTGACCCCGCACTCAAGGCCATTCTCAAGATTCGCGCCTTCCCCAAACTCGGCTCTCTCGGCTTGAATCTCATCTTCCGCAGCCTGGCCAATCGCCTTGTGCATCAGGTGCGCCTTTCGTCTCTCTGCTCCCGCCCCCCCCCCCTCAGCTGCTGCCCTCCATGGCTCGCGGCCCCTCCCCTTCCACTCAGGAGCCTTTCCCGGCTAACCCCCCGCCCCAGTCCCAACTATGCCTGCTTGTTGAGCATCTCGAGCGCAGTGCCGGCCTCCTGGAGCTGGGTGGTGGTGGTCCGCCGACCGCCCTGCCCACCTCGGCCGAGCTGGCCGACCGCTTGACCGGTCCGCGTGCCGTCCCATGGGCCCTGCCCATTTCCTATTTCCAGGCTCTCTCCTCGGCCGGGGTGAGCTACTCGTCGCTCTTCGGCGACGACTCGCCGGACTTGGCCGCCCATGTGCCGGACACCGGCATTTCCCCAGGCAAGTCCCTGTCCAGCCCCTCCTTTGCCGGGATCTCCGGTGCCACGATCAGCTCGCTCATTGGCGTGGCCGGGTCCGCCGTGGGGGGCGGATCCGCCGTCGGGGGTCTCTCCTCGGTCGGGGGCCCGGCCTCAAGTGGGCCCAGTCCGGCCCTCCTGCCCGGTGCCGTGGCGCCCATCCTGCCCGGGGCCATCCTGCCCGGCACCCCGGTCCCAGCCACCGCCATCAGCAGCAGCATTTACGCCCAATTTGCCGGGCCCGGTGGTAGTGGCTCCCCCGGTGGACCTCCAGGCGCTCCTGGGACTCCGGCCGGGGCTCCTGGCGGCCAGGCCCTTTCCCCATTCCAGGATGCACAGCTCCGCCTGCTGCAGCTCCTGCCAGTGCTCTTCCCCGATTGCCTGGCCTTCGCGGCGAACTCCGGCCCGGTCGGTGCGGCCAGCCTCCTGGTCAGCCGTCTGCTGTTGGTGGCCGCACGCTTTGCCTCCCTCCCGGCCGGCTGGCCCTCGATGCCGGTCTACTCCGACCTCCTGGCCATTGGGCTGTCCCACCAGGACGCCTTGCAGTTTGTCTCGTCCGGCTACTGCGTCGTGCGCAATACCGCCCTGGCGGTCCTGCGCCAGCTGGCCACCCAGTGCTTCGACCACTCGACCACCCTGGCCATGGATGCTCTGGCTGCCCGGTCCGACTATTCGGAGCTCGGGTACTCTTCCACCGACGTCCGTGCGTGACTGGCCATGTGGATATTTTCCTTGGCCCCCGCCCCCTCCGCAGCCCACTTTTTTCTGTCTTTTTTTTTTTTGCCCGGCTCCTGCCTCCATCTTCCCTGCCCTGGTCACTGACCCTCTTCGTTTTTTTTTCTCTGCGCATCGGCTCTTGACCTCGATGAATCTCCGTGGATGGGTATGGCTGTGTGCGTGTGTGCGTGTGTGCGTGTGTGTGCGCGCGCGCACAAAGCCCATACTACGCCAGGCTCCTGCTCGGCCACCGAGTCGCTCTACGCCTTCTCCCTCTTCTCCGATCTGTGTGCCCTGGCCGCCGGTGATGGGCCCTCCTTCCTGATTGCCTGTCCACCGCACTCCCTGGAGGATGGCTATGTTGCCGGTCCCGGTGGCGAGTGCCTCGGCAAGGTCCTCTGCCTGGAGCTGCTTGCATCGATCCTCACGTCACACGCGTCGCTCTTCACCAAGGTTTGTCCCACTCCATGAGTCTCAGCCCCCGCGGGCTTCTTGAATGGGTCTTCACTTGTTCCTTCTTCCCCGGCCCGTCTTCCGGCCCGTGTCTCCCCCTCTCGCATTGACGCCCTCCTTCCTGCCTCCCCCCCCCCCCCCCCCCCCCACACACACAGCATCCCCACTTCCTGCGGCTCCTCCGCGACCAGCTGTGCCCCCTGCTCATCGGGGCCACCAGTGCCCTCCTCTCGCACCCTGGCTCGGCCAGTGGCCTCTCTTCACGCCTGTCCTTCGATGTGCGTGGGGGAGCCGCCCCCTCAGATGCCGAGCTGGAAGACATCCTCGGTGAGTATCCCCGCGCTGCACGTACCTTCCGCCTGGTGGCCCTTCTCGTGCAGAACTTCTCCCTGCAACTGGTGCGTTTCCCATCCTCCCTTCCCTCCCTCTCCCTCTCCCTCTCCCTCTCTCTCTCTCTCTCTCTCTCTCTCTCGCTTGTCTGCACCCGCACACGCTGTTCCATTTCTTCTTCTCTGTCACAAGGAAGGCCATCCTAACTCCCATTCCTCCCTTCCCCTCTCTGTCTCTCTCCTTCTACCGCCCCCTCCCCTCCCGTCCTACCCAATTCGCCCACCTCCTAGCCCATGGAAAGTGAGATCTACCTGTCGATGATCTTGCGAAGCCTGACGGCTCTGGAGCGGCCTGCTCGACGCCGACGGACCCCCGCCTCGTCAGCCGGCTCGCCCAGCCTCCAGCCCGACTCCGATGCCACATCCGCCAACCCCGACTCGCCGGCCCTCGATCCGGCCGACAGTGATGCGGCCGACACCGACGACGATGACGACCCTGAGGATGATGCTCGGGATGCCAGTGCCCAGGGTGGAACTCGCCCCGGGGCCTGGTGGATGCGCATCCTGTCGATGGAGACTCTGCGGGACATTTTCGCTTCCGGCTGCACCCCGGGGACGGGGCTCCTTTCGCCGGGTGCCCGCAATAGCGCCGGCTCCGGTGCCGGCACCGAGCCAGCCTCCGCCGGTCCCTCGCAGGACCCCCTCATTCGGCGCATTTATGCCCAGTTTGACCTCCATGCCCCGGGGGCCTCGTCGGATGTGGTCCAGTCGATTGCCTCCTTTGCCGCGGGTTTCGTCACTCACCATGGCCGGCCCACGCTCAATGCCGCCGAGTCGGCCCTCGTCGAGGAGCAGTCCATCCTTGCCTGTCAGGAGCTCCTGGCCAGCGGCCCGGCAACCACCGAGACCGGCCCCGGGGCTGGTGGTGTCCTCTCCGCCGCCCTGGCGGCCGACGGTGCCGTCCCCGGTGGCGGGTATGTCCCAACATCCCAGCTCCCGGCGGCCATTCTCCTGCTCGAGGACGGCCCGCTGGCCCCCTTCGCCGGGGAGCTGCGCCGGCGCCCGGCCGGTGAGCGCATTGCCAGCTGGCTGGTTCTGCCCCGGCCTTCGAGCCCAGTGTTGCTGGCTCCCCAGGAAAAGCGCATCGGCATTTTCCCCCCGCCCGAGCCCCTGGACGCCGGTGCCACGCGCCTCGTCGGCCTGGCCGTCGATGCCCTGTGCTCTCTGGCCCATACCCTCCTCCCGGCGGCCGACCTGACCGCCCTGTCGGATCGCTTCCAACTGCCTGCGGCGCCCGATGCCACTTCCACCGGCGCATCGAGCCCCAGTGGTGGATGGCTACACTCGCCCGGCGCCAGCCGTGCCCTGCCGCCGGGTCTCGTGGCTGCGGCCCAGCAGGACCCGGCTGCCCTGGGTGCGCTCATGTGCCGGGCGCTCGGGCCATCACTGTCCGGGGCTCTGGCCGCGGCGCTTGACCGGTCGCCAGTCTCCTCGGCCCGGCCGCCGCGCCCGGTTGACATCTTGGGGTCTCCATCCTCCGGGGCTGGTCCCGGTCGTCGGCCCTTCTACTTTCCCCTCCTCTCGCTTGAGGCCCTTCTCGACGCGCTGCTTGCCGCCTGCTTGTCTTTCACACACGCCGGGCTGGACTCCGAACGGTATGTCCCTCGATTGCACATCCCTCTCCCGGGGCGCATCCCTTTGCCCTCCCCTCGCCCCGCGCGCTTGTGTCTTCTTCTCTCCCCATGGCCTGGACTTCTCACCCCTCCCCCTCCCCCCCCCCCGCCCCCCCCCCCTCCCCTGCCTCTCGTCTCTTCCCCCTTCCCCCTCTGCGGGTCTCTTCACAGTGATACCCTCCTGGTGGAGGTGTCCAATCACACGCAAGATCGCGGCCCGGATGGCCAGCTCACCGAAAAGGCCATCCTCTGCTCGCGCTTCCTCTCTTCGGCAGCCAACATGGCCGGCGCGCGCCTCGGCATCGCCGCATGGAAGGCCATCCTCTTCGGTCTGAGCTGCTCCCTGTCGCCCAGTGTCACCGGTGTTCCACTGGCCGGCAGCACGGCCGGCAGTTCGGCCGGCCCCGCCGGCCTGTCGGCTCCTGGCTCGACTGCCAGTGCCCCAGCCATGGGAGGCCGGAGCACCGCTGGCGCGACCTCCTCGACCGGGCCCGGGCCCGGGGCTGGCCCCGCGCAAAGCCCCTCCGGCGGTCTATTCGGTGTGGCCAACCTCCTGAGTGTCCTGCCCCTTGGGCGTCTCGGTGGCAGTAGCAGCAGCCATGCCCCCGCCGCCGGTGGATCCGCCAGCAGTGCTCCCCTGCCCCAGGGCAACCCGGCCGGGGCCCCAGCCGGATCCACTGGCCCGAGTGGGCCCCCGGTCGGTGCCGCCCCAGGGTCACCCAGCACCGGCGCTGGTGCTGGTGGCCCCGGGGCCGGCCCACAGGCTCCCGGGACCCTGCTCGCATCGTTGACCGGCTTGACCGACTCGGTCTTCGATTCTGCCCGGTCCCTGGACATCGATGGTTTGGCGGCCTTCACCAGTGCCGCCACCTCGGTCGTTCTCGGCGAAGCTCGCCGCGCATCGCAAAAGGAAATGGTGCGTGTGGCTGCCCACGCTATTTCGCCAGCCCCACCGAGCCTCCTGCCCGGTTCCTGGAGTCTTGCCCGCCCCTGCCCCCCCCCATATCCAATCCCATTGACACTTTCCTCGTCCCTCCTCAGCCCGCCGACGTGGCTGGGTTCCTGTCCGTTGGGATTGAGCGCCTGCGCGACCTCGGATGCGCCACCGTGCCCCGGATCCTGGGCTCGCGGGCACTTCTGGACACCGGCTCCGGTGGGGATGCTCTGGCGTCCGGTGGTCGGCGGACCGTCCATTCCCTCGGGGCCCTTGGCGCTTCGCATGCAACGGCGGTCTCCTCGCCGCCGGCCGCCCCGGCGCCGCAGCTCTCCCCTGGGACGGCGGCCCCCTCGGGCGCATGGGATGCCTTGCACAATCTGCTGGCCGGCCAGCTCGCCCATGGCCAGGTGACCGACTCGCCGCTGCCGGCTCCGAGCGATGCGGCCGTCTCCCTGTCCTTCGGTCTGGCGACTAGCCCGGTCGCGGGCCTGTCCGCGGCCAGCCTGTCCCGCGCCGCGGGCGCCGTCGTCCCGCCCCATCTCCGCCAGCAGGCCGCCGAAGCCACGTGCGACATTGTCACCCGCGCGGCCGAGTGCCTCGATGCCGACACTCTTCTTCGGGATCCCGGTGCGTGTTGCCTTTGGCCACTTGCTTCCGCGCCCTGCTTGCCTGCCTTCCGAAAAGCCGAAGCCTCTTTCCCTGTCCACTCTCCTCCTTGCCCTTCCCCCCTCCATCTTGCTCCTTCTTCACACCCACACACCCACACCCACACAGACATCCACTGACTCACCCACTCGCCGGCTGGTAGATCTGCAAATTCGTCTGGTCCGGCCGCTGCTCCTCTGCGCCTCAAGTCCCTTCCCGGGCCCCTCCACCACGTCGCTCCAGGCTCTCTACAATGTTCGTCAGTCCACCATCTTGACATGCCCTGCCTTCCAAGCCCTAACCCCCCCCCCCCTTCGATGCAGCTGCTTCAAGCCCATGGCGAGTCGCTGAAGTACGCCTGGCCGGCCATCCTGGATACGCTGGGCGAAATGTGTGACATGCTGCCGGTTTTCCCGCCTGCCCTCGAGGACACCCCCCTCGAGGACTCGGCAGGCTCCCACCCCCCGGCCGAGGACTCGCCGCGTCTGGACGCCTCTCACCACCCGGCGGTCATGGGCGCCTTCCAATGCCTGCAGCTCATCTGCACGGACTACCTTCCGCAGCTGGACATGATGTCCACCTTCCGTTGTGCTCTTGCCCTGGGTGCCCTTTCCTCTTCGAGCTTCGATTTGAACTCCTCCCTCACCGCCATGAGCCTTTTGTGGAATATCGCCGACTTTCTGCGTGCCAAGTTCTGCCAGCTGCGCACCCTGCCGGCCGAGGGCACAACCCTCACGGCCGAGCAGCTGGCCGGCGTTTGTCGGGATCGCCATGAGAGGCACTTCCTGCTGGCCGGGCGTCCGGATGTCCCCCTCGGCGTGGAGCTCCTCTGGCGGACACTCATTTCGCGGCTCGGCTTCCCGGCCCGATGCGACCCCCGGCCGGAAGTCCGCGCGGCCGCGGTTCAAACCCTTGGCCGGGTCCTCTCCACCCATGGCGGCCTCCTGACCTCGGACACTTGGGATCTGTGCTTGGCCGGGCAGCTGCTTCCCCTGCTGGCCTCGGTCGAGCCATTGCGCTTGGCCACGGCCACCGACCGGGGGACATCCCTCACCGAGGCCACGGCTCGATGTGGCGACTTCATTGGCAACCAGAAACAGTGGGACGGTTCGCGCGTGCTGGCCATCTCTGGCATTTCACGCATCATCTCGTGCGTATACACCCGCGCATCCGCGCATCCACACACATCCACACACACACACACACACACACATCCATACATATGCATGCATATATTTATCTGCACGCATGGCCAACTCGACATCCATGCTCGCACCCCGAGCCGGCGCACGCCGGCTGTCTCCGGGCTTGCCTGACACCTCCTTCGCCCTTCCAGACGGAATATCGTCTCCCTTCTGAAGATGCCCCGCTTCACAGCCGAGCTCTGGCCGGCGATTCTGTGCCATCTGGGTGGCTTTGCTCTGGCTGCCCCGGTGCCCGGTCTCGAGGCGGCCCTCCTCCGGCAGTTGGCAGCTCTGTCGAGCCAACAGCCCGGTGCCTTTGCCGAGGCGCTGGTCGCCTCGCCCTCGGTGGATGCCATTCCCCTGGATGCCGGCTGGTCACGCACCGTCACCCGCACCGCCCTCACCGCCCTCGAGGAACTCATCCAAACGGTCTTCCGCCTGATCAAGGCCCTGGCCGAGGCGCCAGCCGGCGGATCGCCCCATGTCAACCCGGCTGTCGGCCATCCAAGCGCCACCGGGCACTTTGTGTCCTCCGGTGGCCCCGGCTCCCCGGCGCCCCTGTCGACCAATGCCTCGCTCGATTCGATCTTGCTCGATGCGCAGGCCCGCTTCTCGCTGGATGATCCGGCCCTGGCGGCGACCATCGCCGCCCTCTGGAGCGCGTGGCGTCAAAATAGCGCCCTCTTCGCCCGGCACCCGGCCCCGGACCAGGACTGCCTGAGCTTGCATCTGCGCTGCCTGCCGCAGCTCCTGTCCTGCATCATGTGGCTCCTGCCCCGGAGCACCGGCACCCAGGGCGACTTGAGCCCCGAAGCGGCCGGCATTCTGGACCGACTGCTCGGCGATTGCCTCCGCTTCCAGACGGACCTGCTGCTGCTGCCGATCGGTGATGTCCGTTCGGACCTCGAGCGCATGGCCCCCGTCCAGCAGGCCGCTCTCAACAATGCCCTCTTCATGCTGCAATTGGCCGATCGCGCCCTGACGCGACACCTGCTGTCGGCCGGGGCCGCGGTTTCCGCTCTCGCCGGCTACCCGGCCGCCGTGACGGCTCTCTCCCCGCCACCGGCCACGCTGCCCGGCCTGCAGCCGGCCCATGCCCTTGGCCTGTGCCTGGCCCTGCTGGACAGCCTGGCCATGTGGGCCACTCTCTTTTCCTGCGGCCCCGGCCCCGGCCCCGGTGCCAAGGGAATGACATCCTCCGGTGGCCGGCCCACCTTCCAGGCATTCTCTCAGCATTGCCTGTTTGCTTCGTTGGCGCTGTTCCTGCGGCTGGACTCGCTGCCGGCCTTGGGTGTGGCACCGGCCGGAGCCACTGACCAGGTTACCCGCACTCCCGGTTGTGTGGCCACCCATGCCGATGCCCTGGCCGGCGATTGCCCCGCCCGGCGGCATTACCGCCAGCTGTATGAGTCGCCGGTACTGCCGCGCCTGCTGCTGCGGCTGGCCCTGGCCGGAAATGGCCATCGTCCGGCCTCACGCGTCGCGGTTTCCGGCCCGGCCTCCTACCCCATTTCCAAGGACGCCCCTCTGGCCTTGGCTCCCTGCCCCGCGGCCGAGCACATCTTCAAATGCCTGGCCTGGCAGCCGACCCCAAAGACCTCGCACGAAGACCCGGAAGCCACGGCCACCCCCGCGCCCAGCGCAATGCCCGTGCTGCCTCGACTTCCCTTCGGTGTCTTCACGCTGGCTGCCTTCTTTGAGATCGCCTGGCGCACCATGGTCTCCTCGAAGGCCCTTGCCGACCACCGTACGACCCGGCGCCCCCCCCCCCCCCCCCCCCCCCCCCTCCCCACCCCCCCTCCTCGTGCCATTTCTTCTTCTTCTTTTTTTCTTGGCATTTCTCTGACCACCCCCCACAGTCCCCTCATCGGTCCTTGCTCGGCTGTGGGATGGCATCCTCGCCGGCTTCGAGGTGACACTCCTGTATCATGACCCGTCGTATCAGCCGGCCGATGCTCCGCGTGATGCGCTTCCCCTGCTCCGGTGCCTGCGACTTTTCGCCGAGACCGTCCCCGCACTGCTGGGAGCCGACACCGTCCTCCCGGGCGATCGGGCCTCCTCCTTGAGCTTCCAGCCTGGCGAGTGGCTTGAGCGCGCCCTCATTCGCACCCAGCTGATCATCATCCAGGCGTCCCTCCTCCCCTGTACCGATCTCCTGGCCCGGCTCCATGAGGACTTCCGGCAGATCACCGCCGAAGCCTCCACCGGCGAGGATCTTCCCACCGGCCGCCTGGCATACCCTCCCCTGACAGGGCACTTCCTCGAGCAGGCGGCCCGCCTGCTGGCCAACACCCATGTCGCCGCCAGCACTCCGCCCACCCGGGCATTGGCCGACACCGACATCGCCACCGAGGCCGCACATCCCGTCACCGGCGAACAGGCCGGCCTGGCGCCGCTCGCCACCACCAACGCCGCCGCCGCCGCCGCCATCTCCCCCTCCTCTTCGACTGCGGTGCCGGCTGCTGCCCCGCTTCTGGCACACTCCCGACGCCTGGAGCCTCTTGCCGGCCTTGCCCGGGCCTACCTCTTTGGTCTATGCTCGGTGCTCTTGCCTGATCAGTACCCGGCCGGCGGCGTGGCCTCCGGCCTCTGGATGCCGCTGGTGGCCGGGGCTCTCTTGGACCGGGCCATTTACATCAATGCCTGTGACGCGCCCAGTGCCCTGGACCCTACATCGGCCACCATCGGCCTGGCCCTGGGTCATGGTCTGCGGGAGATGGCCGCCCTCGGGTCGCTGCGCGTATGCCAATACTTCTTGCTGCGGTTCTCCTCATCGCTGGATCCGCGCTCGAACTCCGGCCGCGCGCATCCAGCCGCCACGCCGCCCCTCCTTGCGGGATCCCCACCGGTGCCTCTCCACCAGCCTCCCCCCTCGGACTACCTGCGCTTGTCTGTCCTGCGTGTGCTCGGCTTCCTGGCCTCGCTGCAGCCCCATCCCGGGGCCTTTGACCGGGTGTGCCGGTCACACTTGTATGGCACCTCCACGGCCTCGGCCGCGCTTGGCCACTCGGCCGGCTGTCTCGCGGCCCTGGTGGCGGCCCCGCCCCCGGACCGGGCGTCCGGCGCCGCCCTCGCCGGCCGGCCGACTGCCCTGGCCGTCCGGCATCTTCTCCTCCTCCAGCCCACATTCATCGGGCTCTCCCTGCAGTTGACCCTGGCCGGGGCTGGAACATCCGCCGGGGCAGCTGGCATTTCCTCCTCCGGCTCCTCGGCTGCCACTTCGCTGGCCTCCTCCTCGTCCTTCATCCCCCCCGGAGCCGCCTCGCACAACTCCCTCGACACGCAGATCAGTCACCTGGTGCACAACTGCATGGACATCTCCCACCGGACCGTGGCTGATCTGCTGCTCTGACCAAGCGTTGGCATCATGGCCCGATCGCATCTCAATAGACCTTCCTCTGCCCTTTGGACTGCCCCCCCCCC